TAAATGCACACACTGAAATCGCTATTACCGATATGCTCATCCAATCAAGTTTCGATAAACCCGTTCATCATCATCTCCTGCGGTTTCGAACACGCCTGTTAGGTGGTGCGGTAGACCGCGCCCAAAGCCAGGGCCCCGGTAACGTGAGGTAGCCGAGTCGGGGCAGCGTGCGCTGACCCAAGCCGGGGCCGCGCGTCCTCCCGGTGTCATGTGATAGCCCGGGGCTGCCCGCGGGGATGCGGTAGACCGCGCCCAAAGCTGCGGCCCCGGCTTGGGTCAGCGCACGCTGCCCCGACTCGGCTACCTCACGTTACCGTGGCCCTGGCTTTGGGCGCGGCTTCTGCTCATACTTTGTGGTGCGGTGGTGGTGCGTCGGGCCGCGCGCTCTGACTTCGGCCAAGAAAAATGCGTCAGCTGATCATTGTCATTTCTGCCACTTGCGTGTGGTGAAATGGGGTCATAACTTAAGAGACGGCTTTTGATATCAACTATTTTACATAAAATCATATTTCAAACCATAAATAATGTTCGACAGCCAAATAAAAGAAACAATACCAATACAGGCTTACAGTTTAAGGCTCGACATTGTGTTGTCTACGATTAGACAGCTGATAACTCATTCCCGTACGTCGTAACTCTATAATGACCTTTGCTTATTGTCACATGTGCGCCGCATTCGCGATTGTTGCCGACGCCTGTTTGCACGTCAGCCCACTACAGTTGTTATACATATCGAAAAACCGATAAACTTTTAGGCGAAAAAGGCACTATTCCAGGCCCATTTTTGATTTTTTTTGCGATATTAGGTAAAAACAGAAGCTTCTTATCCTAGGAAAAATAAAATGGGAAATCTTTCAAAGGTGGCACACTACCTTTAACCGGCTCGCCCGTGCTATGCGATTATCGCGGAGGGGCCACCCATGCTGCCGGAATTCCTATAGCCCACACTTGCTGTTCCCATGGAGCGGGCCGTGAGAATATGATTTCATTTCATGTCGGCTGTCACGCTGCGGGTGGCGGCGTGCGCTTCTGCATGGTATTCCGCGTATCTACCATGACCTGACACCATGTTCCGCGCCGGCGTCACCGCGCGCGGGACTCGCGCCGCCGGCGTGTCACCGCGCGCACCCCGGGCGGCGCGGTGGGCAGGTCCCGGGAGCGTGGTCACTTCCCTCTGGGTGACTAGTTAGCTACCGTCGCCGTCTTCCATGGGATTCGGCAGGGTGGGATCTTCATTCAAGGTCACTGCCGAATGCGTACATAGATAGAAACGAAATACATTTGAAATGGCGTGACACTGAGCTACGAGGGTGCGCAGTTTTATGAGATCGTTTTCATCGTGGGTGCTATTACATCCATTCAGAGCGTACAGAAATAGTGGCCGCGGCGCCGCTGAGCCACCCGTCAGTTGGGCGGCGCGGCGCCGACACCTCGGAGGGATGGCTCGGCGCCGGCTCACAGCGGCCGAGCGGCGGCGGCGGGCCACGTGGGAACCTGCTGCGTAGATTCCTCCCCCTCCCCCTCCCCCCCCCCGATTCCTGTCAGCGGCCAGCTGTTCGCAGAGGTCCTCAACCCTCGCCCGGCGGTGGTCCCCAACCCTGGCCGGCGCGGCAGGGCTCTTGATATGTGCCGCCAGAATCGACATCAAGCGTTACAGAAATGTCGCCCGCCTCGTGAAATGTGGTCGTTACCGGTCCTCGTTCCAGTTGTTTCGTTTTCTACTCTGTCGCTGAAAACTGCATCTTGCCAACAAATGGGCGACGGTTCCACAGTGACAGCTAACGCTGTTGAGTGATTGTGACGGTTTCTGGGTGTGAGCGTGGTTCATGGTCAGCTGATCCGTAACAAATCACCATGTGACGTCATCATCAGATAATTTAGTACTTGTACCGCGCCTGCGTACTGCGGACATTGTACTTGTACCGCGCCTGGGACTGCGGACTGCGGACATTGTATTTGTACCGCGCCTGGGACTGCGGACTGCGCACATTGTACTTGTACCGCGCCTGCAACAGCGGAGTTGTGCGGTCTGCGTGGTCGAATTGCCCGTGGCCGAGGCGCTTCGGTGAGTGCCGGCATCCGCGGCGGTGGCTACTGCTTCTACCAGACACACGCAGTGGCAGCCACTGCTTCTACCAGACACACGCTGTAGCAGCTACTGCTTCTACCAGACACACGCTGTAGCAGCTACTGCTTCTACCAGCCATACGCAGTGGCAGCCACTGCTTCTACCAGACACACGCTGTAGCAGCTACTGCTTCTACCAGCCATACGCAGTGGCAGCCACTGCTTCTACCAGACATACGCAGTGGCAGCTACTGCTTCTACCAGACACACGCAGTGGCAGCTACTGCTTCTACCAGCCATACGCAGTGGCAGCCACTGCTTCTACCAGACATACGCAGTGGCAACTGGCAGCTACTGCTTCTACCAGACACACGCAGTGGCAGCTACTGCTTCTACCAGCCATACGCAGTGGCAGCCACTGCTTCTACCAGACATACGCAGTGGCAGCTACTGCTTCTACCAGACACACGCAGTGGCAGCTACTGCTTCTACCAGCCATTTACTGTGAGATCCGCAGTAGCAGCTGTCCCCATGCCAGACATTTACTGAACATTCTGCGGGCCATTGTTCCGGCATTGAGCAACCCTGACTTTAATATAGATGTATATCATTATTCGGTCACCGTAGCGTGGAAGGTCACCGTAACGCATTTTCAAATATACACAATGTTGTGCTTCCGTAGTTATAACGCGAATGCGAATTTTGATGTGATGTATTTTATATCACCCTCCGCCTGGATACAATCTTCTGGCTCATCCGAGGGCGCCTCTGTGAAATCACGCTCCCCGTATCTCTGCGTGCCATTACGGGTGATATCCGCGGCGCACACATGGCGAGGTCACTGCCCTGCAGCCGGCCGGAGGGGGTCATTGGCCTGCAGTCAGCCCCCGCGGCGGCCTTGGCAGGCGCTGTGACGGCGCGTGTTGATAGGAGCGCCCCCTGCCCCCCCCCGCCGGCGGGGGGGAGGGGGTCAGAGGTCGCTGCCGGCTCGGCTCAGCGGCCAACGGTCCATGGGCTCCCAGCGTGCTGACGTAGTCCCTACTCTCTGTGGCCGGGTGGTGGGGATGCCGAACCCGTGGGTGCTGGGGACAGGGCTACCCAGTACCCAGGCAGGCAGTGGATAGATGCGGTCTTTGTGCATTCTGCCTCGCTCCTAACCAAACTCTGAGCGCTGGTGCTTTTTGGAATACCTGCAGATGCTCCTGGGTGTGTGCCTGAATTCCCAATTAATAAGGCTCGAGATGCTGCGGTGCATTATAGAAGTCTTGAAGCATGATCGGTGGTCTATGTTTCCTTCATTCATGATATACTTTTCTCCTATCCTACCGTCCTTGGTAGTTCACAGAGGCCGCCATTGTTGTGCGGTCGGTCGGACTGCGGTTTTATTTACTACTACCCGTCCAATGTTAGTGTCACACTCTCAGTGTATTTGCCGTCAGTAAGTACGCAGTGTCAGTAGTCTCGTGCCCTTTTTCCGTTCGAGGTCAGCCGGGTGGTTTGTCTGTACCCGCGGTCTCCGAGTGGCGGCCTCTGATTGTATATCTGGTATCGGCCTCAGCTGGCAGTGGTATCGACGGTTGTCGACCTTGTTTGTATATTCCCTCGTGTACCTGACCCTGACAGCGCAGAGTTATCCGTCTGACGGTGTACTCCTCTCCGCTTACGTGTATCGTGTATTCCCTGCACTGGTGTAAATTTACTCCTTCTGACAGTGGCCTGGTGAAGCATGCGCTGTGTAACGGTGTACTTCCATCCGTCAGATACCGTATCGTGTGACCCGGGGGTCATAATATACGCCTTCTGACGGTAAATTGGTAAAGTGTGCCATGTGTAAAGATGTCTTCTTTCCACCAGTTACCCCTGTAGTGGTTTAAATATGCCCCTCTGATGGTGTACTCTCCGTCTGACGGCGTTGTCATCTCCGCCAGGTACCCTGATCGCTTACTGCGTGTACCGGTGCAAATGTACCGCGTCTGACTGTGCTATTGCAAATACTGCGGTGTGCTAGGCTGACTGCACTGGTGTCAGTTAAGTTTTACCCCGTTTGATGGTGTACCCCCACAGACAGATAACCGAATCGTGTACCCTGCACATTGTGCAAGTATAATCTTTCTAACGGTGTACTCTTATACCAGGAACACCCTTATTATGTACCCCGTTTACTAGTGTAGAATACCCCCTCTTACGGCGTTCTCCCCCCAGCCAGGGATCAGTATCGTGTACCCCTTGTACTGCTGTCGATATACACTGAGAAAATTTAAAAACGGGGTGGGGTGTTTTTGCAGTGTATGATGAGTGTCAGACACTTTTAAATGTGTACTGTAACACTTATTACAGTGTCATGAAGCCTGTCATACACGGTTAAAGGTTTAGACACCCTTAAAAACTCCCTTGGGTATGCAGAATAACCACTTACCCATGGGTACCCATACCCCATGGTGGTTACCCATGGTAACCACTTACCCATGGGTAAGTGGTTATTCTGCATACCCAAGGGAGTTTTTGAGGGTGTCTAAACCTTTAACCGTGTATGACAGGCTTCATGACACTGTAATAAGTGTCACAGTACACATTTAAAAGTGTCTGACACTCATCATACACTGCAAAAACACCCCACCCCGTTTTTAAATTTTCTCAGTGTACGCACTCGAACGGCGCACTCTACTCCACCCGTGTATCGTTTACACCGTGGCCCGTGTACTAGTGTTGATATACCCCTCTGACGGTGTACTCCCCTCCGTTAATGCTCGAATCATGTACCCCGTATATTGGTGTAATTATACTACTAACGGGGTACCCCCGCCATGAAGGTACCCATATATTGTGTACACCGTTAACTGATGTAAATATGCCCCCTGGCGGGGTTCCTCCCTCTGTCATGTACCCGTACCGTGTACCGGTGTAGAATTAGATGTCCTCTGTCTGTGTGAAGTAGTACTGGTGTAAATATGACGGTGTACTGGTGTAGATGTACCCCCACTAATGGTGTACTTTGTTCGCCAGGTACGCGTATCGTGTACACGGGCCAGTTCCTGAAGGCGCTGCGCGACTCGCCGCTGGCGCGCACGCCTCCGGCCGCCATGTCGCACGTGCCGGGCGTGACCAAGCTGCCGGCGGACGGTGCGGCGCCGGGCGCCGCCGGCCAACGGTCGCCCGCTCACGAGGGCACCGAGCACGCCGCGCCGGCCGACAAGAACGGTGGGCGAGCCAGGGGTGGAGGTGGTGTGACGAGGAATGGGGAGATACGAAGGCCGGGGAAAGGGAGGGGGCGAGTGTCGATGATTTTCATTGGTGATGTTTTAGTTCTACGACTTTCAGTGGGTCGGTTCTGGCAGATTGGCTGCGAGATTGTCGCATGTTGTCGGAAGGTTTTCTATTTCCCTGTTTATTGAAGATGGCTGCGTAACAGCTGCAGACCACTTGTTATCACTGCGAGTCGTTCGTTCAGTGTCCCGTGCACTGGTAACTCCAGGTGTCTGTGACACCTGTACCGGCGCGGGTACTAGGTACTGACTCGCGACCGATCGATACGCTGTATCTGAGTAGTGAGATGTGGTCAGTGTCGGCGTCTCTGACACTCCGCTCGTTTTCAGACGGGGACGATCCGCAGTTCGAGATGGACATGTAATCTCCTCCGACCGGCCACGGAGGGCGGCGCTGCACCGCCGACAGCGCCACCTGTGAGCGCCAGCCGCAACCTACACCTGCGGCCGCCGCCGACAGGTGACACTGGGAGCGGCGGTCCGCTCTCGGCACAAATCGGCGCCGCCGCGGACCGCCTGTGATTCAGCTGTAAATTGGCGGCGTCCGGACCCGGCCCGGGCCCGGGTCCGGACCGCGGCTGCAGGTGCCTTCCGCCGCTGACCGGGGCGCCGATGCCAAATGCAATGGGACAGCCGGGGGCGGGCCCGTCCGTCTGTATCGCCTTGTTGCCGTTTGACCGCGGCCGTGACAGCAGTTCAGTGAGCGTTCAGTTCCGTTCCGTTTCTCCTCCCTGCAGTGCGGACTCTGCCGGCGGGTGGAGCCTCAGTGACCGCGCCGGGCCTCCGCGAGGTCCCGGGAACTCTAACAGTCCGACCCGCCGCAGTGTGGTGACGTTTTACACAATGTCAGTCAGTTTTAGACAGTCTTCCGCGCTAGGCGCCGCTCGGTTTCTCTCTGTGAGCATGTGTTGCGGCATTTCCTTTGGTTTGGCTGGTCCTTGTTTGGGTGCCGATCGCGCCGTACCAGTTCGATCCGGATGGTGCTGGTGCAGTCCAGTCTGCCGGCTTCTGCTGCTATGGTCGGGTCAGTGCAGGTTTCAGTCGGTTTGTGCCGGTATGGTCTGCGCTGTACTGGTCACGGCTGGTTTGTACTGGTTTTGTCTGGTCTGTACCGGTGTGGTATGGTTTGTGCGTGCGCCTTTGTTGCCCTGCGCTCGTCCTCGTCGCCTGGCTAGAGCTGAAGCCGACCTCTCAGCTTCTGACAGGCGCTCCAGCACTCAGCTGGCGACCGACCTCAAACGCCCAGTGACGTGGCTGTCGCAGCGCGGCAACCGGCCGCTGCTCTCACCCTGAGCCGTCCCCGCCAGTGCGGGAGGGCGAGGGTGGTGTGGGCGGCCGGGGCGCCGTCTCGGTGTCTGTCTCTCTGGCCGCCTGCGGTGGGTTATAGTGTGTCTGTGCGGGCTGATCGCCCATAGTGTGCAGTTTGACGCAGCGCAACTGACCGCGCAGTTTGTGTCGGAAATACAGGCGCCGGGCGCACAGTACACCACCGTCTGTGTGTGATCAGAGAGCAGCGGGACACAGTACACCGCCGTCTGTGTGTGATCAGAGAGCAGCGGGACACAGTACACCACCGTCTGTGTGATCAGAGAGCAGCGGGCGCACAGTACACCACCGTCTGTGTGTGATCAGAGAGCAGCGGGACACAGTACACCAGCGTCTGTGTGTGATCAGAGAGCGGCGGGACACAGTACACCACCGTCTGTGTGTGATCAGAGAGCAGCGGGACACAGTACACCACCGTCTGTGTGATCAGAGAGCAGCGGGCGCACAGTACACCACCGTCTGTGTGTGATCAGAGAGCAGCAGGACACCACCGTCTGTGTGATCAGAGAGCAGCGGGACACCACCGTCTGTGTGTGGTCAGAGAGCAGCGGGACACAGTACACCGCCGTCTGTGTGTGATCAGAGAGCAGCGGGACACAGTACACCACCGTCTGTGTGTGATCAGAGAGCAGCGGGACACAGTACACCACCGTCTGTGTGTGATCAGAGAGCAGCGGAACACAGTACACCGCCGTCTGTGTGATCAGAGAGCAGCGGGACACTGTACACCGCCGTCTGTGTGTGATCAGAGAGCGGCAGGACACAGTACACCACCGTCTGTGTGTGATCAGAGAGCGGCGGGACACAGCACACCACCGTCTGTGTGTGATCAGAGAGCAGCGGGACACAGTACACCACCGTCTGTGTGTGATCAGAGAGCAGCGGGACACAGCACACCACCGTCTGTGTGTGATCAGAGAGCAGCGGGACACAGCACACCACCGTCTGTGTGTGATCAGAGAGCAGCGGGACACAGTACACCACCGTCTGTGTGTGATCAGAGAGCAGCGGAACACAGTACAGTAGGTCTATTAAAAAAGTCCCCAGCACCAGTGGGCGCTGCCTTCGCTGAGCCGAACCCCCGTCTGCCTGTCCCATATCGCACCGGGCTCAGGTCAGGTAGGGTCAGCGGGACCGCTCGGTCCGGCCCGCGGGCGGTGGACGGGCGGCCGGTAACGCTTTCCACCAGCCAGCTGTAGAATCCAACGAACGGGACGGCCACCGCTCAGCGCAGCGAAACCGGTGTTAAAGAATGGCAGTAGATGTTCATGGCCACAATGATTATGAGATAGTCATTGTTAGCCCGTGCCCCACAGGAATGCCTAGACTCTCACGCCCTGTTGGAGGGGAAATGGGGATTGAGCATCATTCTTATCTCAGCTTTGGGCATTTAAGTGGTATTCGAAGTAGCGTCAAAAGTAGCAAAAAGAAGAAAAAAATACTTCAGCCAATTTTGGATCGGGTCATAGCCAGAGGTCATGTCACTAGAGGTCATCGATGGTAAAATTTTGCTTAGACAGGGTGCGTTGCGCGCACCGGTGCATTGGGTTTCCAATTTCCATGGAAACATCAACAGACTCGGAAGCTCGCAACAGGGGCGCGGGAACTACTTTCCGACTGGGGGCACACCATACCTAATAGAGATCAACCTACATAGGGTCCCCCCAAATCTAGTTTTCTCACCGGTTTTAGGCCACTTATTTTTCATCCCTCAGCTTTTTCAACAAAAAGAAAACATTTGCAAAAAAGAGTGGTATTCCGTCTCAAAGCTGTGGGGGCACCGCCCCCACGGCCCCAGAGTCGGGGGGGGGGGGGGCAAGCTGCCCCCCTCCCGGCTCCCGCGCCTATGGCTCGCAACGCTAGCGTGGAGCCGAATTCATATCAACCGCCGCAACAATGCAGCAGCGCAGCGCAGCGTGCTGCAGCGCGGGGCCGTGAAACACCGCCCAGGGCTATCCATGTGTCAGGGCAATCCAACCCACGTGATGGGCTCGGCCCCAGCGGAGCATGAGGTCCAGGACTCCCGCCCAGGCCCCCTGTCTCCCCCTAATTCCTATCATCCTTCCCACTCTGAAATCGACCGAAAGAGCCTAACCTAACACAACAATCAGCTCGTTTACCGCTATGTCTGAATCTGAAATCTGAATAATATTGTCAGATTTAATTAGGGTCAACGGCTCATCATGTAAATAACAACAACAACTGCCATCATCGGTATTATGAGAAAACCAATTGCTTTTCCACAAACACTTAACCCTATTCCTGGCGGGGGGGGGCCTCAGGAGCCCCCCCCCCTGAGGTTTTTTGGTTATTTCTCCCAAACGCGTTGAGCTAGGAAGCTCAAATTTTCTGAATTTTCCTAAAAGGCTTCTACGCAACATGTCTGAAAATTTTGAGTTGATCTGACCTCAGGTCAGGTCACCAGAGGCGGTTTGGTGACCCTACCTCAGAAAAGTTTGCAATCACGCCAGAGCTAGAGTTTTTGACCGATCAATTTCTTCTCTTCAGGCTTTAGTTAGGGTACCAGTATGTGCAATTTGTATATCTCGGAATTTTGATATCGGTGACCTAAGGTCAGGTCAGTTTCGCGACCTCCCCATTATAAGTCAAAGGGGGAAAAATCAACTCCCTGTTTTTACCACTAAAACGGGTCGGAATGGCCCCATATACCATACATGACTTCATATACGATCAACCTTCACTACCTTGAGGTCTGTTTTGCTGTTGGGCAGCTGTGAGGTCATGTGACGTCATCAAAGGTCACCAAAGGTTTTTGGCCAATAACTCCGTACAGGAACAAGATACAGACGCGTGGATGGTCTCATTGTGTTCAGCTCGTCAAGACGCATCGAATGATATACATGATGACCTCGAGGTCACGTGACCTGAGGTCAACCTTTGACCTTGACCTTTCGAGGTCAACATATATATCATTCGATGCGGATTGACGAGAGGATCACGATGATGCCCTTAGTTTGTTCCTATCTTGACTAATTCGAAAGTTATTCGAGAAAAACTCTCCATGTCTAGCGCCGCCATTTTGACTTTTTCGACCCCTGTGACGTCATCTTTGACCTGACCTGAAAATGACTTAAGTAAAAATTGTAGACCTTGTCCATGCGTATCCGATGCCGTTTACCGCTTGTCGCTATCTTGCTTCGTTCTCGAGATCTCAGGGGGGGCCGAATCGGCCCCCCCCCCCCCGCCAGTTTCTTGTCCCGGCGGAGCCCGCCAGGAATAGGGTTAAAAGTTTTTAGCTTAAAACTTGCATGAAATTAATTTTACCAGCCTCACGTTCCTCTTATCAAAACGCTTCGAATGAATCAAAAGTTGATCTTTAAAGGTCATTTGAAAAATTTGGCCTATGTTCAAAGACATGACCTGACCAGAAATGGTCATAATGCATATCAGGATATTAGATCCGTATCGTGGAACTTTACAAACACTTCAGATGATTTCATAACTTAAACGTGTCTATCAAAAATGATTACATGGCTCATAATCATATGTAAGCTGGGTGTGTGAACATGCTTGCAAGTAGGTTGAACACAACTGATAATGTTCTGTTGGCCACAATTTCTACATTTAATTTTTCCTCCCGAATTTCATATTTTTGTTAAGGACACCTTGACGATGTCGAGAAAAAACGCTTAGGAGATTTAACAGCCTGAGATACATTCAGTATAAAGAAGGTTCAAGGGTGCTAGATTCCTTCCGTCCTCGCTATCCTCAGGAAAAACCAATCCGCATCGCCCCTAGTCTTAACCCTCGCCCCGTTGGGGGGGGGGCATTTTGGCCCCCCCCTGTGGTTTTTCCTGAATAGCAAGAAAACGGCGGCGCGCAGCGCCGCCAAATTTTCAGTACCTTTCCGGGCATCAATTTGACACCTTCACACCAAATTTCAAGTCTTAGGTCACCTTAGGTCAGGAGTTATTGAGGTCAAACTGAGGTCATGTTCGAGCAAAAATGAGCAAAAAACATGCAATCTTGAAACGCTCACCAAATCTACAGTTATCAAGCAATTTCAAAGTTCTTTATATGGTCTAATAGACAAAAAGCGGCGCTACAAAACTGCTATCTCGGATTTTCAAAATTTTGGGTTTTTGACCAAAAAAAATTCAAAAAATTGATTTTTTTAGAAAAAACTAAAAAAAAAATCCAAAATTTTTCCGAATTTCGAAAAAACCGGAATATATGTGATAGTCCCTGCGCTCTTCTATATACATACCAAATTTCAGATCGATATCTCGTTTTTTGGCCAAGTTATAGCGAAAAAACTGTTCAAAAATGATGACGTCAAATTTTTGAACTCAATTTTTTAGCGATTCTAGACCTCAAACGGCAAAACAAAGACCACCATTGAACTCTCCGTGACGAGCTGCATCGATTCGATACCCATTTTATGCAAAAATATCAACTTTGAAATTTGACCTTATTTGACCTGACCTTGACCTGACCTTGACCTGACCTTGACCAAAACGTGACCTAAGCTGGCCCCAAAGGCTGCCTGACCCACATAATCGCATTTGTCATGTAAAATGGACCATAAAACATGTATCACACAACACTTTCATATTGTGACCCCCCAGTGACCTGACCTCAGTGACCTGACCTGGTATCAGTGACCTCAACTAGCAAAATATGTGTTTGAAGAACATTTCCCCATCGATGATTTTCAATGAAATGCATTTTACTCGATTTTACAACGCATTTCTTGAAATGCCTGTAAACGGTGAAAATTGGACCTTTGACCTGACCTGTGACGTCATCGGTTTGACCTAGGTCAATAAAATTGGGTCACAAGGTAGTTCCCTGATAGGGCTATCCAACACCGTTTGCCGCTTGTCGCTACGTTGCGTGGTTCTCGAGATCTTAGGGGGGGGGGCCAAAATGCCCCCCCCCCCAACGGGGCGCGTCGCTCGGCAGAGCCCAACGGGGCGCGGGTTAATGCTTCCCTCTCTGGACTGGAGGTCACCCCACCAGCCAACCTGTAGTTGATGTCGGATCCCTTCCAGGACACATAATCCTCTTCGGGTGACCGTTTGGGAGACGGCTGGACCGTCCTGACAGGGCAATCGTCCCACGGGAACAGTCTCGCTTCCGCAGATCACTGTCGCTGGCTCGCACAACCCAATTACTACACCACAGCATAGTTATGTC